GCGCAGCAGGAGTTATCACACTGAGAATAAAAAGCCTGGATCTACAACCCCTTGCTGTCCTTTTCAGAGGCTTTGATCGTTCTGGACAGCAGTAAAAAGAGAAACAAGCAACGGGGCGGCTACAGAAGTCTGCCTTTAAATACCTGCAAAAGGTGGCACGCACCTCTCTTCTTTAATTAGAAAAACAAACAGACCAAAACGGGAAAATAAAATATTTGCCAGTGAGCTGGAGACGTGTGCCACAGCTTGAGTGAGGAGAACAGATGATGACTGTGCAGCTTCTTCTGACGAGCCCAATGGCAGCATTATAACTGTCAGGCAACAGGCATGAGATGCTGGAATGGTAAATACTGCTGAAATGTTATTTATTTGTTCACAAACACCAACAAACTCACTCACGTAAGGACGCCTGTACAGATTTACGTTTAGAACCAGATCCGAGTGTTGGATCTGAGGAGCTCAGATTTAACCGGGCCTTGGGGAATGGACCTACGGTGAGATCAAGGTCATCTTGCACCTCCTCAGTTCATAAAGACATCAGCACGACAGGAGACACAATAGTTATGTCTCTTTTCCTTTAGTATCTTTAGTACCGGTACAGCACGGTTCGGCTCGGCTCGGTACGGCACACGTTGTGTTTCCATTACGCTTTCAGTACCGGCTCCAGTGGGCGGGGCTCAAACTGACGTCATGCACCTCACCAACTGGAGGCAGTGAGACGCCGACACAGGTTTCAGTACACGGTGAGAATTTATTTAGAAGTTTCTGGTAAATTAAAAAGAATACAGTATATTAAAATTATCAAATTAAACTACACACACACACACATTTTATATATATATATATATATATATATATATATATATATATATATATATATATATATATATATATATATATATATATATATATATATATACTGCTAATGAACTTTTAATGAACTTTAGTTTACCATTAAATCTCTGATGAAGCAGATTCTACAAAAACATCCATATTTAAAATTTTTATAGGTTTTCTTCATCATTTGACGTATTTGCACTTGTTGTGGCTACTTTGATTGTTCAATTTAGATGTGCGGTTGTTTCTTGTATACAGATTTTTTTTTTAAAATTATTATTATTATTAGCTTTGTTTTAAAGTTTAATTCTTGTTTTGTGATTTGCACATCTGTGGGTTAGAATAAAGTTGAACTAAAGGCCATAACTCTTCTTTAAACATGTTTGAGGGAAATATTCCAGAGAGATCTAATAATGTTGTGTTTTTTTAAATTATTTTTCAGCTGAATTAACTTTAACAGATTATTTAATAGTCATTAAAGTGAAAACAGGATTTCGTGATAAAGTCGTCACCGTTTATTTATTATTTTAATCTTCACAGATTAAAAAAAAAATGCATAACATAAAATGTTTTTAAAAATCGTTTCCACCCTCCGTGTGCCAGACCTGTCTGCCGGGATCGGGGTTCAGCCTTCATGATAACGCAAGGCCGGGGTCCGGGCAACGGCTTTCTGCGAGTCAGCAGCTCGTATGATCCTCTGCGGTGACCAGCGGAGCTCGAAGACCGCAGATCACCTAAGGCCGGGATCCCGAGCCCCGAGTCGGCATTAGACCATAGTGTTGTCATTATTGTTTTTAAAATATTTACAAAGTAAAATAGGCCCAGCTGCTGCTCCGAGTTCAGAGAAATTGCAAATGGCGATCTGCGTTTTGAAAAGTTTCTGAAAGATCCACTGACTCCGCCCCCTGACCAATCAGGGACCGACAGTGTTCTGACGTCACGCTTTGGTACCTGCTCAGCCTAGCTGGATCCACAGAGCCAAGGGTTCTGAAAAAAGGGACCGGTTATACGTACCGTTACTAATGGAAAAGGGGCATTAGTTCTTTCCCCCAAACCGATGTTAGGGAAATCATAAAAGACGAGTAATATTTCTCCAGCTGGATCTGCCTCCGTGTGTAAGACCACAACTCTGTTCATGTCTAGACAAGACAGTGAACTTTTCAAAAAGACATCAGCTCTGCTAACTCGCATGAAAAACAAGAAGAATTCATTTGCCCACTTGCAGAAACGAGACTGATGGACTTTGTTCCACGTCTGAGCGGTGGAAGCAGTGTGTCATCACTCAGACATGTGAAACCAGTCTAGTGAGCAGGGGTGGAAGTCATCTGGGTCTCATATACATGCGAGGAGGACGATGCCAGCTTCCCACGTGAGCTCCAAGTGGGTTAAAATATCACTCAGGCATCCTCGAATAATCCCTTACATGCTGTGTAACCATTAAACCACCTGACTGAAGTCTGCAGCTGACATTTTGTCATGTTTCCACTCACAAAACGCAGTTGATCTCTGCATGGTTACAGAGCTTTTGTTAGGTTCGTCTCTTCTTTCACATGCTGAGTTGTAGATCAGAATACTCATGTTACATGTTTTCTTTCGCACATAATATGACTCTTTCCAAATAAAATTCCTTACATGAAAACATCCATGAGTGTTTGAAGGTTTATGTCTGTGGTAAAACACTCGGAACAGTCCCTGCAGACACAACTAAACTTTGCTCTCGAGGCAAAAAACACAGCACAAAGAGTTGCACACAGTGGATGAATGAGCTGCAACACTTTGTTCCCAGTTTCTTTATCTCTGCCTTGGATTGTTCCCACGCCTTGCACGCAAAAGCTGAACGAAAAGCTGCGGCTCATAACAAGTACTGTTTGCAACCCTGTGAGAATGTAGAACTAAAAAGCATGACATGACGAACACAGTGTGGGAGAAAACACAAGCCAGTATAGTGTATAGTATAGTATTGTATAGTATAGTACAGTACAGTATAGTACAGTATAATATAGTATAGTATAATATAGTATAGTATAGTACATTACAGTATAATACAGTATAGTACCGTATAGTACAGTACAGTACAGTATAGTACAGTACAGTATAGTACAATATAGTAGAAACCAAAGAGCTGCTGTAAACTGAGAGCTGAAGCAAGTACACAGTGATGCAATGTGAAGAGCAAAGTTGTTGCGATTCACCTGAGCTTTATTCTTAAAGTAAAGAACTGCAAACTCAATTTATCATGAAAACTCCACTTATCAGGTGTTACTTTACTAAATACATTTACTCAGGTCCTGTGGCTAAAACAGTAAATATACTTGTAGTTTACTTTAATTATATGCCAAGCTTCAAATCCACTGTGTTGCAGAGAAAATGTACTTCGTTACACTTTTTAAATTATTCCCTCTTACTACCAACATAAGGACGATCACACGCAGTAGATGTATCTTAGGGTTGACTGTCCAGGAAAATGGGGAGTGTTGTAAAGAAGTGAAGAATATAGAGTCCAGGCAGCATGGAGCTGATGGAGAAAAGTTTCAGGAGTGATTTGTGACAAAAGAATGCCAGCAAAGGTCAAAAGACAGGTTCACAAGACAGTGTTGAGACCAGCTATGTTGTATGGTCTGGAGATAGTAGTACTGACAAAAAGACAGGAGGAAGAACTGGAAGTGGCACAAATGAAGATGTTGAGGTTCTCCTTAGGAGTGATTAAAGCCGTATTCGCACAGGCTTAGTTTTATCTAGGGACCACATGTAATAAATAAATTACTCCCCAACGTCTGCTTTTTATGTGGCACATTCACACAGGATAACCAAAGCCTGAGATTTAGCTGAAATTTACAGACATCTTCTAGATATGATGTTAATGCACTGCGTTGTCACGACCGGGCAGGTCCATATAATGTGCTTAATGTGCGGGCCGGGCTGGCCTCAGGCTTAGATGTGGTTTTACGAATCAGCACAACAACAAAAAAACTAAATAAGAATGCACAATATAAAATTGTGTTAATCTACTTGTTGAGGAGGAGGCAGGTCCGACCGGCCGGGTTAAGAGGTAAAAAAAAGTCACATTAAGCTCAGATGGAGAATCCATCACCGGCCGCGTGCATGAGCGTCTGCGCATTCGCTGACTCGCCGGTTAAAATGGACATGCATCCTAGGGTGTCCCCCACCTCTCGCACAGTGATGGCTGGACATGGACACCAGCGATCCCCGCTACCCAAAAAAGAAGAAGCGAGAAAAAATAATGGATGGATGAGTCAGCTGATCACGTGTTTGTCTCCGCACCTGCTGTCATTTGCGTAAGTAGCAGCATAAAAGCCGAAGCGAGCGTTCATTTAAAATAACCTTGTTCTATATTTTTCAAAATGATTTTGCTTAAACAAAAACAAACAAACAAAACGCCTCATTACAGATCGGATCCTACCCCATTTCTGTCCAAATCACAGAGATGCCTATTCACGTTGGATTAGTATTATCACAGGACCTCGGAGTTCAGCAAAATATAGTAGGTAATTTGTGGGGGAATTTTTACTTTACAAATTACTGGCATGGTCAATTGACACAGGATTAACACAGACAATCTCCGTAATTATTACAAATAGCATCCCTCCCTATACGCTAATCTTCTGCGAATAGGGCTAAAGGTGGATAAGGGATGAGATCATAAGAGGTACAGCACAGGTTGAACAACTGGGAGATAAAGTTAGTGAGATGGTTTGGACATGTCCAGAGGAGGGACAGTGGGTATACTGGTAGAAGGATGTCATTGTTGTCATACTTTATCATGTGTGCTGTCAATCTGAATTTCACTTATTCTTTACTTTTGCTGCAACACATTGACTCTTAACCTCATATGAGTGCAATGTGTAGCATTTGCATGCACATTTTGTGTATTTTGTCTACACTGGAGAGTGATTCCAGTTCAATGGTGAACAAATTCAATCATTATAACTATAAACTTTCTAAAAAAAAAAAAAAAAATTCCTCTGAGATGTTTCCAATTAAAGCTTTACAATAAACACGAGCTTTCTTTAAAAACTCTACTCTTCCTTCCCAGTTAACCCAGCTGTGACTGTCTGCACAGGTTCTGATGGACCAGCTGATGAGGATCAGCCCAGTCCTCACTGTGGAGCAGCACAGAACCCATTCGGATCCGGACCCCTCACCTTCTGATAAGCCAGCTGGAGGTAGTTGTACGGGATCCTCCTGGTGAAGTCCTGCACCACGTCCTCGCTGACTTTGTGCGCAGACTGGACTCCCAGCTTCTCATCGATGCACGTGTTCATGCACGCAGCCCTCCGCAGCACCGTGTCGAAGAAGCTCAGGTCGGAGGAGGACGCCTCGTCGAACGGATGCTGGTCCTGACACCTCAGCCGGCACCGGACCTTGGAGCGCCGGACCTCGGCGTAGCTGCTGAGCGCCCCCTCCATGTGTCGGACCACAGACTCGTAGTCGCTGCTGGAGAAAGCGCGCACGGCGTCGTCATACAGCAGGTCGCAGGGCTGCAGGGACGCTGCTGAGGAGGACCACTGGGCGGACAGCAGGACCAGCAGGACCAGGGACCAGCTTCCATCCATCCTCCCTCCCCGGCTCGGTTCGGACGGTCACAGCGCTTCACAGCCCATTTAGAAAAGCTTAAGTAAGTTGTGGACAGAACCAGAGCAGAGCGGAAATCATGTTGGAGGACCCCGGGACACGCACTTTGTAGAAACCCTCCATTCTCAATCATTGGTCCAGCTGACTCCGCCCCTCCGATCAGATGAATGGGCCACAATTACAGCCCCCCCCCCCCCCCCCCCCCGAACAGTGGGGAGTACAAAAACAAGCTGTTCATGTAGTTTGTCTTCTTCAGTTATTTTTAATTTTTTTTTTTAATTTTTTTAATATATTTATAAAACCCACAACCCAAAACACGCCTTGCAAATGCAACTCTGCGAAACAACTTAAAACCTTAAATTCGCAAATAAAATTCGAGTTCTGTGCTTAACTAATCCAAAAGACGTTTAATGACCCACCTGTGTTCAGTTTCTGAGAACATTTCTGTTGTCAACAAGAAAACCGTGGGGACCTTTGGAGTAGGTGCAGGCTGGCTCCTCAGTGTGGAGTCTGGCTCCCTCTGGTGGTTATTTTGGGTAATGACAGCTTCGTTGTTGTAGATAATTTAGTTCAGTTGAGGAAAACGCTTGGGCTATTAATTTATGTTACAGTCGTGTGTCTCACTTGCTTTACGAATATTTACTATCTTTTGTCTTTTACTCCAAATCTGAAACATCCGCGTTAAAAAAAAAATCACACTGCACAAATGGTTTCTTTAATGCAGTATGGAATCAAATCCAACCTCTTGATGGCAGTCAAAACTTATATATTTTGAATTTATGAGAAAATTCACTCTTTCATCTTGCATCACGGACAGGCTAATATTAACCCTGATCTAATTTGGAGTTTGGACAAAGATTGAAATACCTCTAGCTTTTTTGCACCTTCGAAGTGAAGACAAGACTGTTTGGACACAAACATTTTCTTCTTGAGTTTAAAAAAAAAAAAAAAAAATTGTGTTCCTTTTCACAAAATTGGTGTTGGCCACTGGGCTAGTTATTTATGGATCATATTTATTTATTCACATTTTTTGTGAAAAAAATAATCTAAATATGGATCCTTCACAATAAAAAAATGAAGCCAATACATGAATAGTTTTAACATCAAATATCAGAATTGAGTTCAAAGTCTGTTTAAAGGGATGATTTTCACAGATTGTTGGTACAGAATATAAGCAATACTATTCTAAGCGGCATAAAGAGACAAAAAAATAACAGCAAAGACAGTCTGCACAAAACATTAGGAGAGTTTAATAAACTCAAACCATTTACAAAAACATAAAAATAAAAACCTGAGATGTTAAACAATTAGATGCAAGCACACTAAAGGGCAGAAAGGCATTCAAACAACAGAGACTATAAACATATATATATATATATATATATATATATATATATATATATATATATATATATATAT